TGGAAGATGGAATCACGGATGCTGCTAATTTTTTTAAAATTATTAAATTTTATTAGTTTTAATGAACATTTACAGAGATTTTGGGATGCTGCTAATTTTGTTTAGTTTCTTCAAGAAAGAATCAAGGTTAATGGGGAAATTGGTAATCTTGGTGGAGGGATTGTAACCGTCAAAAGATGAAAGAACAAGATAGCTGTAACCTCTGAGGTGCCTTTTTCCAAAAGGCATTTGCAATATCTCACAAAAAAAATACTTGAATAATCTATTAATAATGATTGGTTGCATGTAGTTGATAACAGCAAAGAAATTATTAATTACTCCACTTCCAGATGAACGAGGATGAAAAACAGGGAAAAGATGAGGATTAAAATTCCTTTATTTTGAATAAATGAAGTTTTTGGTGTTTGCGGTTTCCCCCAAAATGCTTTATTTAAAATACATGCTTTGGTGAAAATGGACTGAGGCTCACTTGGTGTCAGCCAAATAAGTGAGCTTTAATTTTTTTTAAGGTCCTTGAAAAAAACATAGGAAACAAAAATTTTGCTATGCTTGTATCTCAGCTATGTGCTTTGAAGAAAAGAAAAAACCATCTTAGATATCACAGGAAAAGGGCTTCACTTGGACTCCTTTCGCTCATTTGTTACATAAGACTTTTTTTATCCCCTTGAAGATTTCAGCTCTGAGTGATATTAAAATAGAAGTGCTGTGAGACTCTGAGGGAACAGGTGATGATTTGACATTGACAAGGGAGATGAGGGTGTGGCGATAGGGCCTTCAGTTAGTCACTATCTTATGTAAAAAAACCAAGTGTACAGTTTTATCTGCTTCTCCTCAAAAAGAAAGATTCAGAAATACAGACACTCTGAGTTCATTCAAAGTAAAACAAACGACTTCTTTCTGAGGTTCCCCCCTTGCAAGAAGTGTGGGTGACAGTAGAGACACAGCTTTCTGGGGCATTTGCATTTTTAAAAATTATTATTATTGTTTACTCTTGGAAAAAACCTGTCATTTGTATTAACTGTTATATGTTAGGTAGTCGAAGAAGTCCTAGGTTTTAAAGCAAGCAAATCTCTGTACGAAAATGAATCTGTAAATTCTCTCTTCATGGAATTCATCGCTCGGTAAGAAACCATTGCTTTAGCATCCAGCAGAGGGAGCCAGAGGGGCATAGTGAAGCTGTGATTGAGATTTTTGTTGCTGAGACTTCTGTAGTGAAGGGTGGAACGTCAAGGAGACGTGACTGGGGGGCACTTCATGCAAAAGAGACAAGAAAAGAATCTCCACGGTCCCGGGAGACAGATGCTGCCTTAGCACTTAGACCAAGACTGAATTCTGTGTCACAAATTCTATAAATTAGTATCTGCAAGATTTGGAGGGGTAAAAAAAAAACCCCAGAAACGACTGTTCACTCTCATTTTAGCACTTTGTTTCCGAATGTAGACGGTAGAGAACTGAGATATTAGTAATGAAGTCGTTTGTTGTTGTTACTGATGTTTTTATGTGCCGTTAAGTTGCCTGCGACTCATAGCGATCCTATGTACAACAGCCCTGAACCCTGCTCTATTCTGTGCCAATCTCATTGTCTCTGACACACCTACCTCCATTACCCCATTACTGAATCAGCCTATTTCATCGAAGCTCTTTCTCTCCTGCCCTCTCCCTTTACCCTCCCAAGCATGACATCCCTCTCCAAGGACTGGTCCCTCCTTGCAATATGTCCAAAGCATTTCAGATGAAGCTTCAGAATCCTTGCCTCCAAGGAGCAGCCCAGCTTCACCCTCTCCAGGACAAACCTGCCTGTTTTCTTATCAGTCCATGGTATATTCTATACTCTTCTCCAGCACCACAACTCAAAAGACATCAACTCTTCTTCTATCATCCCTAGTCATTGTCCAGCTCTCTGATGCATAGCAAGTAACTGCAAAGACCATGGCCAGTATCAGGTGCACCTTTAGTCTCCATACTGACTTCATAAAGATGTAATTATCAAAGACAAGGTCAAGATCATTTGTGAGTGACTTTGACCTTGCTGAACTGTCTGCATTGTGTCATGATGATGGTGTATGCTCATAACTTCAGGAGAGATTGTTCCTAGTTAATTTCCACACCTGAAATTCGTGTGCTCTGTTGTTACATAGCTGGACATTAAATGTGCAAGCCCTGCCTTGGCTCCAATTTAACGTTTGTTACGCCTTCAATTGAATCTAACATGTTGAGGCTCTGTGATTCCATTTGTGATAAACGTTCTGCTATTTTCTATTCCTGTTCAAGTTTCTTGAAATAGATTTGTTTTTCACATCTATCCTCAGCACTTGCAGAAGATTCAGACCTAACTGATAGAGTCTTTGCTCCTTGCCTATATCTTATGATTCATTTTCTTGGCAAGTCTGTGACTTGGGTTGGCACATTTTACTTAGTTATTGCTTTGATCTTTCTCATGTAATAATTCTTAGTTTGGTTGTTAAAAAATGAATCCGTGAACATAGAAGCTCTTTTTTTTAAACAAGAAACAAAACAAACCATTAAACTTGTCTCAGATGTTAATTATGTTTTGTCAAACATTCTTCTAATTGGTCTGTCCATTTGCTGTACAGAGGTAACTCGCTGTTGCTATGATGCTAAACCCTGTGACACTGATGTGTCAAATGTGATAATGGTTACCCATGGTGGACAGTGTTTGGTGGAGCTTCCAGATTAAAACAAGCTTGGAAGCAGGAATGGCATCCACTTCTGAAATAACTTGCCTCCAGAAACACTATGAACTTGGAGAAAGGATGAAAGTTATACAAGTGTTCAGGTTTTTCATTTATAGGATTGCTAGGAGTCATCTATGACTCAACAACACTTAACAACAAACAACAACAACGATAATAACAATAGATTTTAAAACTTACTCTACAATTTAAGTTTATTGGTTTTTCAGACTCTTGTAATTTAGGAGCTTTGGCTGCATTTTATATTAAAGTGGCTGACATGTGGCTACTAAAAAACTCCCAAACAACAAAGTAAACAATACCCAAACCTACTCTATGAAGAAAATAGTTCTATCTGCATTTTATAGCTAAAAAACCGCCTGAGCCTAGGGGAGGTAAATGACCGTCTGACGTCACACAGAAGTAATAGAAGGACCCAGGTCTTTTTGACTCCACAAATTGATTTCTTTTCCCTCCAATGTACCTTCCACAGCCTAGGATTGAGGGGAAGACATGTCAGAAAGGCTTGGTCACAAAGATACTGCAATGAGTTCTTTGCAAAGATCTTCAATATCTTTGTTCCCACGTAAAAGGGCACATCAACTCCCATTCTGTATACTTTCCTGGGTCTGGGAGGAGATTCCAAGATGAAATTTAACATTCAAATAACAAAGAGCAGAAAAGGAGGGAAATGACACTGCAGAATCTGAATTGAAAATATTGATAGAAGACTCAGTTCTTGCCCCTCATTTTATTCTTGACTTGACACCGAGACTATCCTGGCTTAGAATCAAGTGAGGTAAGGGTTTAATGGCATTGGTCTGGGTTCTGTTTTTCTTTTCAGAGTCTAAAGACGGCCATGAGGACCCTGCGTCTAACTGTGTGGATACACCCACAGATGGTGAGTCAGGATCGACAGCACTGACTGCTGCTGGTCAGTGAGACCAGCTACTGGGAACAAGGGTGGAAAAGGCTTAAAAACCCAAACACAGTAGATGGGTGGGGGTGGGTAAAGGAACAGGCAAGGTGCGATGAGGCTTTGACGAGACGAGATGATAAAAGGCATTGGTCAAGAGTAAATAATTAGATAAAGCGTGTTATAGATCAATGACCATATAAAACACAACGTACAAGACTGATGTGTAAAAATAGAAGTAAAACATGTATGGAGACCCAAGGGGCAAAGGAGTGAGAGCAGAGGGGTGAGGATGGGTAGGGGAGGAGACCACAGGGTTGCACAATTTGGTGGGTAGAGGGAGGAGATGAGGAAATGGGAAAGACCCAGCAAGGACCTGAAAAGACAGGGTAATGATTGGCCAAGTTCAATGGTGATTAAGTTTATAAAACACAAGGCAGGGGAATGAGTATATGAAACACAATGAATGAAGAATAGTGTGAAACACCATGCATGTGAACTTTGTAAGGGAACGAATACAAAAGAAATACACTTTTAAAACCAAAATAGGAAAAGAACTCTCTTCCCCACAAAGTACATGAATGGAACACAGTGCATATGCGTGTTTGTACAAAATTCAGTTAAAAAAATAATACTAAAAAAGTTAAAAAAATAATACTAAAAAAAGACAAAACAAAACTTATTCGAGCTGAGAACTGAGAAGAAACCACAGTTAGTTGTTAAGAAGCAAAGCTGCGGTGAGGTTATCATGCTGTTAGATGCTTAAGCGCTTGGCCCTGAGTTACCTGTGATCCAGCAGCTCCGTGTGTCTTGCACCCCCCTGCACCCCTTCACGACTTCTGCCACTCTGTCCGTCCATCTCCTTTAAGGTCTCCCTCTCTTTTGCTGACCCTCTGCTTTTCCAAGCATGATGCCGTTTCCCCAGGGCTGTCCCCTCCTGACAAAATCACCCAAGCATGTGAGGTGGTGTTTGTTTCACCGTCTTTGCCTTAAGGAATGCATCGGTTACCTTGGTTTTAGTCTTTGGTGCAGTCTCTAGGCTCAGCCATGCTCTTCGTCAACATCACAGGGAGAAAATATAATAATTATTACTATTTGTTGAGTGCTTTCGACTTGACAGAGGCTCTGGTGGCCTCATGGAGAAAGAGTTGCACTGCCCACCCAAAGGCAGGCAGTTCAGATCCACAAGCTGCTCACAGGAAAAAGACGGGCATTCTCCCCCTGTGTGATTTGCAGTCTCTGAAATCCCATTGGAGTGTCAGTTATGAGTTAGTTTTGACTCAACAGCGATGAGTTGAGTTGAGGTACAGTTGACAGAGGACCGCTGTTTACACCATTACATTTTCATCTTCTTCTTGGCTGTTCTGTAATGTGTGGGTATTGTTACCCCGTGTTATATCGATGGGGGGACCAAGGCACAGAGGCTGTGTGACTGCCCAGAGCCACACAGACAGGAAGTGGTGGCACCCAGTGAACAGACAGTGACTCGATATGTTGTGACCTCCAGATACACCACAATGTTTCTGTTATAATAGGTAATGAAGTGAATTATTTACGTAGATAAGTGGCTTGTTACAGTGTTCCATGTAAATGACCACCAGTAGGAGAATTCCAGAATTTAGACTGGACAATGACTAAGGATTACAGAAGAAGAACGGATGCCTTTGAGTTGTGGTGCTGGGAAAGATTATTGAACGTATACCATGGGCCGCCAAAAGAACAAACAGGTCTGTCCCGGAGAGGGTGAAACCAAGTTTCTTCTTGGAGACAAAGATTTTGAAGCTCCGTCTTACATACGTTGGGCACGTGGCCAGAATGGACCAGTCCTTAAAGAAGGACAATCATGCTTGGAAGAGTGGAGGGACAGTGCAGGAGAGGAAGACCCGGATGAGATGGATTGACACAGTGACTGGGCTAATGTAGGTAGATGTGTTGGAGACAGTGAGATTGACTCAGGATAGGGCAAGGTTAAGAGCTATAGGGTCACTATGTACAATGTATGTACAATAATGGCACATAGCAGCAACATCAGCAACACACAGCAGAATAATTTAGTTTCAATCAATAAACAGAAAAAGTGCATTTCTCCTTCTCTTTGAATCAGAAAGGTGTCTACAATATATTGTTGGGAAGGAATGAAGCCACTTGCAAGAAAGACTGTAAAGTGGGATTTCATTAAAAAATACACAGTACGGGGCACTAGAGACCAGTTTGAAAGTCATCTACCGGAGCTGGTTCTGCAGAAGCTCTTGGCTGGAATAGGTGTACATGCTCTGTGCTGCAATCCCGAAGTCTCACAGTTCGAATCCACCAGCTCCTCCTCCGGAGGAGGATGGGCACTCTCCTCTCGTGTGATTAACTGTCTCTGAAAACTCACTGGAGATTCTGAGTCAATGGTACACCATCACAACAAGGAGCAAACGAGGAAATATTTTTATCTTCCCTGAAGAGAAAATGGAAATATATCTAAAATAATATTTTTTTCTATAATTATATTTTA